TCCGGCTTTGGGTCTGTGGCGGTCTGGGGGGGTACTGGCGGGGTTGCGGGTTGGCCTGTGCTCCTGCGCGTCGGGGTTCGGGGGGGCTGGGTGGGGCCCGTCATCCGTGCACCCTGGTGGCGCGCCTCGTCCTTCTGCTGGGGGTCGATTTGCTGCGGGCGGTGTGGCCCAGGTCGGGACCACTGCGGGGGCCTGACGCTGCAGTTGCTTGGGGGGCGGGGTTAGGTGGGGGCCCGTTGGGTTTCCTTGGGGCCCGCCTGGCCCACTGTCCATGGGCGCTGGGGGCCTCGCGGCGCCGGGGTCTGGTTGGCGCCACCTCCTAGCCCCTCCCATCCATCCCTCTGGCCCTCGGGCCGGGCCTACACTGGCCCAGCCTCCTAAACCACATTTAGTTCACTCACCACACATTCCACAGTTTTAATGCACCGCATACACTCACTCTTCGAGGTGCAGACCACGGATGGATTGGGGGGCTTCATGATGGGGCGGTGGGCGGTGGGTGGGCGGGCCCTCCTGCCCCGCCTGTCTGGGATGTGTGTCTGGCTCTCTCGGGGTGCCGGCCATCGCCGCCCTGGGTCCTTGGGCCTGCGTGGTGTCCTGCGGCCTCTGCGGCTCCCTGGTCTTGGGGTCTGGGCGCCCCTTTAACACTGCCAGATTTTCCGCGAATGTTGGGCCGTTTTGTCGGCAAGCTGCGTGCGTTTAGGCACACAGAGCCGGATTGGCGAGTTGATCGAAGGTGCCCAATTTTCCGCCTCGTAGGGTAGTCATATTGGCGGATCCCTTTTAATTTAAAAAGACCAATGCGGCCTTCCGCAACGGGAGAGGCTGTTGAAGACTGGTGGGAGGAGCTGTTGATGACGGCGCACGTGCAACCTACTGGTGGTGGATAAACAGGAAACAGCTGATAGCAGGAATTAGCGAACAGAGTAGCAAGAGGGAAACGTAAACCTGACAGACACTGTAAAGATGAGGAACTGAGGAGACAAGGAATTGCACGCCCTCCTTGCCCTGGCAAACGAAGAGGCCATTAACCGTCAGATGATGGGAACGGTAAAGGATGGGCCAACTTACGAGAGAATTGCATAAGGACCAGCCGCGGCTTCCCTTCCCTCCCACTGTTTACGTCACACGCTGAGCTACACGTTTTATTACTTGCAGCATTTTGCTGCACTCCCCGATTTTGTTTTTATACTGCCAATGCTGAAACATAGAGAGAGGGGCTGAGCGAATCAATACACTGCACACAGCTCTATAATTGAGATTGATGAGATTTTACCTGTTTTAAACACACAAATTTGCAGTAAAGCTGCAGTGATGAGTTTTAAGGTTGTATAGTATTCACAGGGATTGGCCGAATTTGTGTTAATTGTTGTGATCACAACATCTCCACATCCTGGAGGGACTCTTATTTGAAAATCACTAAGCTTCTATAATGTAACAGAGTTTACAATGTGCTAAATTTAATGAAAATTGGGCACACATACACAAGAGCATCTGATGAACTCTCCTAATATACCTAACATTTGCTCATTGTGTCACCCAGTGCTTAATTTGTAAAATTAGAAGTAGGGGAACACTTTGGGCCTCTGAGAGAGCAGAGTGGGGGAACAATTTTTTGAGCGGCACCCGAGCCGCCTCACTGGGCAACTCCAGATGGAATGGTTGTGACATCTAGTGTTGTCGCAGTACCAAAATTGGGACCCACGGTACGATACCAGTGAAAGTATCATGGTTCTGAGTAACATCACGATACCACAGCAAAAATTAGGCAGATGTGCCTTTGTCATTTATAAAAAGATAAATAACTTTTCTATAATACATCAGTGATATTTCAATGGAATAAATTACCTATTGACTTATTCATACTTCAAAAACAGCATCAATAAGTGATTAACATAGGGGGGGGATTGAAATAAAATGAATAAATAAAATAAAAATCAACCAGCCACCCTCCTCCCCTGACAAATAAAGAACAGTCCCTTCATAAGTAAAGAACAGTCCCTAAAGTGCGGTGAGGTTTGTGGACCGTTACCTGCCACAAAGACAGAAATGTCAACGGCTCGTTTCTCCTCTGACACGCCACATACCTGTGTGCCGCCACGGCTTGGTTGTCCAGGTACTACTGAGCAGTCATGACGCCAACGAAAGAGGAAATTAGGCTACTGGACCTGGAGTCGGACTTCTCCGCCATATTCCTGTCTGTGACCCCCGTTCAACCCGCAGGATTCACCTTTTGTTTCTGCTGCTGGTTGAAACTGTATTTGCACAGCGTGCTGAATGATTTATTTTGCTCGCACAAAACTATTTTTAGTCGCAAATGTGAGTAAAATGCTTGCACGTAGAGCTCTGTGGAAAACAAATCACTGCCGACAAGTAAAAAGAAATAAATAATAACTTTCACTGCTCAAAGATACTCACATGTCTGGAAAACAAACCACTACAGCAGCATATTGAGTGCCAGGTGGCCAGCGCTTTATTGGACGGCACATGGACACTCACCCTCTTGCGATTGAACTTATCCCACAGTAGTGGTACGTGAGGCACTGTAGTACTACGGTACTCCACCCTGCAACACTAGTGACATCAGCCAATACTGTATGTAGTTTTTAGATGTGAAAAGTTCTAGACCCATGCGAATTAGTTCCCGAACGCACTAGGGCCTTTTCTGAAAAGATCCTGGTATGCGTTCCAGTACGTTCCGGCTCAAATTAAGCACTGGTGTCACCTGACTTTACATACAGGTATGACCTGACGGCATGGTCAGGTGGTAAAGTCAGATAAAGATACAGCATCAGTTTGAGTGGGTATGGCAAACTCTGAGGAAAACAGGATTTTTCTGAGCTGCTTTCTAAAGGTTTTCTTGATGTTTTCCATTGAGTTTCATGACTAACAGCTGGAGCATTTGAACTTAGGACTCATTCTGTCACACTTAAATAGATTACTCAGCAATGAATGAGTGAAATAGGCAGGCTGTTCTCATAATTTTTTTGTTTGTTGCCCACAACAAGCAAAGTACCCAAAGTCTTGTCGCTTGTAACAAGGCAGGTTAGGGTGGTGGATCGATCACAAAAAACAAACTTCATGAGTGAGTCATTTTAAGGTACGTCCTCACCATGTTTCTTTTCCTAAACCTAATCTCAGTAACTTTTATTGCCTAAACTTAACCTCCTTTACTTTACATTAATTATGTAACTGTACATTAAGAACATAACATAATTTGTGGGGCACAAATTCGTAACAGTCATACAAACTGTTGTGCCTGCACTTTTCATAGGATATCTTACAAACAGTTCTATGAGAATACATTGAAATGGAATATGTAAAATTAGTTCATAACATTATCATAGAACTTGAGAAATGATGCATGCCAAATTTAGAGATGGAAAGAGAAAAGCAAATGAGATTTTTAAAAAAAAAAGAAAAAACAAATCTTCCCTACAAATTCAATGTGTGTTACTTTTTAAAATAGATCAAAGTGTGGAAAATGTGTCCACTTAAAAGGCATTGTACTTACATGTAGTAATGTTGATGTCAGAGACTTGAACGTCATCGTTAATGCTGATTGGGTAACTGAAGGTTCTCAGTCTATCTATTACTGTAACATCTGTGGTGTTTAACTCAATAGATATCAGGTATTCATAGACGACTTGAGGAGCTGCCGAGACAGAAAAAAGGGAATTAATGTCCATAATTTCTGATCTGTATCGTGATTATTACGATGAGTGGTGTCTTCTCAGTCGTACTTGGTGATGGAGGGGGTGTTGTAACAGGACAGGAGGTGAATCCTGTCAGGAAAAAGAAAGAGAAAAGTTGAATAAGAACAAGTGCACAAACACACTGTTGTTACTGTTGGGTATACTGTGGACTATAGACAACATATTTTCATCTCAAAAGTAAAGATTAAGATACTTCAGATCTTGCTGTACAAACTGAAACAAATCAATAATACCATATAACTTTTCATCAGGCAGTCTGACTGAGACAGTCATGTCATATGTAAATTAGATAAGAACTGTAATGACATGAATCAATTCTTTGTTCAAAGACTTTGTTTCTTTTAAAGTGTTTGATAGAGCACAGCTTACTGTGCTGATCAGCAGGCTTGCAGTATTGTCCATCAGGAGGAATGACACTGATACATGCACATGTGTCATCAGTAATGTTGTCACAGGATCTGTACAGGAAACACTGGTCACATGACCAGCGATACTGGTCCTCACATCTGCACTGGTAACCACCACTTCCCAGAGAGCAAACTGGAGATAGTAATGAAAAATACAAGATTTGGAGCCTGTTTACACCTGGTATTAACATGCATCTTGGGTGATCCGATCACAAGTGAACAGCTTAAGCCATCATGACAAGCATTACATTTATACAAAACATTAACTTTTCAAAGTAAAATGCTGCATGCTATACAACTCTGTAACAAAGCATTACATTTTAAAACAAATTAATTCAAAATCTATACAATTTTTATTTAATTCGTTTCAAAACATGGATTCCAATAATGTTGCAAAAAATCCTGAGTGAATATTTCAGCTCTAAAACCAGACAGTGTGACTGTAAAACATGTAAGCTACATCTTCTGTAAAAATAACATTTTAATACATTCAACACATATTGTATGCATTTAAACAGTGCAAATTCTTATGTCAATACAGAGCGTTTCTCCATACTGCAATACCATTAGCGCACTTGATGACGTTTCAAATGACGTTGCATGCGCGACGACCTCTGGTCGGCTAGAAAATGCGGAAAAACGCGGAAAAATTTGATTATATATGTTTTTACATATTTATTTATGGCCCTTACAATCCTCCATATACCATTATTACAAAAACATTTAATCCATTGAATTCAGATTCAAACAAAAATCCTACCTGTAGAAATGTTGACATCATTGATTTGTATTCGGTTGGTGATGCTGATTGGGTAATTGATGTTTCTCAGAATGTTCCTCAGTTGATTTACTACTGTAATATCTGAGATGTTCAACTCAATAGAAAAGATGTATTCATAAACAACTGGAGGAGCTGCAGCGAGAGAAAATGAAGCAGATGGAAACGGTCATATTAGCTGCATTACTTTGAATGTGTATGTTATTAATAATTATTGATTCATTATTATCTTCTCGGGCTTACTTGTTGGTGTTGGTGATGGAGAGACTGTTGTTAGGGGACAAGCTGTGAAGTCTGTTTGTAGACAGAGAGAGAAGAAAACGAAATATAGGGCTTTGTGTTAGTAAAATTATGCTGTCTTGATTGCTAAATGAAGGCATTACCAGTTAGGAAATGTCAACACTGAGGAGGAGTACCAACAGATTGAATGGATATTATGATATCACCTCTTCTTTTCTTTCAAGAGTTAGATGTACAGTAACAGAAGCAATTAGTTATTTGCAATAAAGGAGGAATCATGACTGAAAAGCTGAAAAAGGTTGTAGTTTTTCCCTTCATATATACAGTTTCAATGCTTCAACAAACCAGTACAGCCTGGTTAAAAACAGCTTACTGTTCCAATCAGCAGGCTGGCAGTATATTCCATCACGGGGAATGGCACTGATACATCCACATGTGTCATCAGTGATGTTGTTGCAGGACCCGTACGTAAAGCACTGGTCACATGACCAAAGATACTGGTCCTCACATCTGCACTGGTAACCACCACTGCTCAGAGAGCAAACTGGAGACAGATATTCATCAGTGTTTTGTTAAAAAAGCAGATTTAGCAGAATAAAATAACAGATGAAAACAGTCCAAGAGAAAATCACTATAAATAACGGTTGAAATGAGTTGTGTACAGTCGTTATTCCTACCTGTAGAAATGTTGACGTTGTTGATTTGTATTTGGTTGTTGATGTTGATGGGGTGATTGATGTTTTTCAGAATGATCCTGAGTTGGTTTATTAGTGTGACATCTGAGATGTTCAACTCAACAGAAAGGATGTATTCGTAAACAACTGGGGGAGCTGCAGAGAGATATTAGGGAAGAACAATTGGACACCTTACAACAGTTTGATTATGGTGAGAAGAGAAGTGTAATAGAAATCAAATGGATAATAGGTAAATCAGATTCTTGATCATATGTTTTTCAGTCATGCTTTGTTTTGTTTGCCTTATTGCACCACTTCTGCCTTCTATAAAAGTAGTGTGGGTAGGGCACTGAGTTCTTTAAGAATTAAATTACTCAGAAATTAACTCTGAATCCCAGAGTACATTTCCTTAGCTTTCCTTTAGTGTAGCTTAACGTGTGTTAACTTAGAAAAAACACAGAGGGGTTTTCCATTGAGGCGGCTCAAGGAAAAGCCTGGCTTATTTCAATAAGTCTTAGTAGTTTAAGTGAGAGAACTGTTCCATTACTGTGGCTCATATGAATCCCTGCTCAATACCCATGGTAACTTATACTGCTGAACTAGTCTGCTCTATGGCAGGCTAGCTGTTAACCTTTGTGGAGCTACATGTCAAAGAATCCCAAAAGACAGCTCTATATGGTACATTTTCACATTGGAAACACTTTTATCCCATGTTTCAGATGATATACTCACAATGTAACCAGGCATGAAGTTTTAAAAATCATGTCTTACCACTTTTACTGCATAAAAAAGCCAAATGGTTATTTGACACAGGCCAACCTATTTTAGTTAATCCCCAATGTATTCATGATCACCCTTTAGTTTAGACTGTATAATGTGGCAACAACCACATTTTCCATCATGCCTTGTGCTGGACTGAGTAATTAATAGTTAGTTATAGGCTATGCTTATCACTCTGGAAAATGTTTTTGTATTTAATTTTCACTTGTTGCTACAATCCTTTCTTGCTTTTGAGATGACTCCTGTTGAGATGTAATAGAAGAATGAATATAAGCCAAAGGTTAGGTCAGGCAGGCTTCACACACCTTAACATACTTGGCTAATTACAGTTAATTTATTGTAGTGATATCAGTTCTCCTAAGTTAGCCTACACCATAACATTAAACACAAGTCTGATTGTAGCTGGCCTACTGATAATATAGCCACAGTCTTACTGTAGCCTGTCTGACTGTCCATTTATCATCAAATACAAATAAAAAAACATGAAGAGGGTTTTATATCATATGCATTTGGTCTGTCTGCATTTTTTGCAAAGCCAGTCCCTTCACCTTGTTAAGTATTGCCCCTTTTAGCGATTACCGCTTTATATTCTTCATAGAGCTCCATCAGCATGGTTTGTTCTGACAGAGAGAGGAACATGACTCTCGTTTTCCCTTCCTCTTGCAACATATTATCCTCTTTTCAACAATTGACTGTTCTGGTCTGCTTTTATACTCATGCACACACTAAATTGAGGCTTATTACAACCTAGCTAGAGTTAACGCTGATTAGACAAGGCTGAATTGTGTTTATGGAATGGCTTAAGACTTTGGACGGTGACGATAAATCACACAGGGCTTTTTTTTAAAAATTTAATTAGGCGCAGATTTCCTCAGTGGCGTTGACCCCCAAGAATGAACTTCCCCTTTAAATCAAAATATAAACACCAAACACCACGTATTGCAAAAGGCTTCTCAATGAAATAATCAAACACAACACATATATGGTTAAAGAAGTAATCCCTGATTTTTTAAAAAATATAAAATAAAATGAATGCAAAATAAAAATTAGTGCAATGTACCCATCAAACCCGTTTTACCAGTAACATCAGAGAAAAACAAATTGACCTCTTCTACAGAATTGTAGACTTGTTTTACAATATATGCCATAAATATTAAACATGAAATACATCTCCATATTTTTACTCCCTTCATGAACATGAAATTACCTTTAATCTCTTTTTAACTTTAACTTTAACCCGGTGCCTAATCCAGGCGCGCCGGGGCTTTGGCCCCCGGCGAACCGGGCGCTTCGGCCCCCGGTGAGCCGGGCGCTTCGGCATCCAGCGGGCCGGTGGCCAGGGTTCCAGGGCGCGGTGGCTAATGCGGCGGCTGATGGGTGGCAGCTGGGTGGACTGTTTTTTAACAACCTGCCCCAGGTGGACGCTGCCTCCAACACAGCCCTGGACTCCGAGCTGACCGTCAATGAACTACACACAGCCCTCATGAGCCTGGCCAATGAGAAGGCTCCAGGCATTGATGGGCTCCCTGTGGAGTTCTACAAGTCCTTCTGGTCGGTCCTTGGTAAAGACATGCTAGAGGTTTTCCAGGACAGTCTGAACTGGGGACAACTACCACTGAGCTGCAGGAGAGCTGTAATCACCATGCTCCCCAAGAAAGGAGACCTGCAGCTCCTAAAGAACTGGAGACCGGTTTCTCTGCTGTGTGGAGATTACAAAATCCTATCCAAGGCCCTGGCCCTGAGGCTGAGGGAGGTTGTGAGTGAGGTCATCCGTGTGGACCAAACCTACTGTGTGCCCGGCAGGTCCATAAGTGATAACATCACTTTAATTAGGCATATTTTGGACGTCTCTAGATCATTAGGCACAGATACTGGTCTGATTTCCATAGACCAGGAAAAAGCTTTTGACCGGGTTGAACACCAGTACCTCTGGCAGGCGCTGGCTGCTTTTGGGTTCAACCCAGGTTTCATAGCTAAGATCCAGGTTCTGTACTGTGACATTGCGGGCATACTGAAGATTAATGGTGGCCTGGCTGCTCTTTTAATGTGGAGAGGGGGTTCAGCAGGGATGCTCCCTATCAGGGATGCTATACTCCCTAGCCATAGAGCCTCTGCTCCACAAACTAAGAAAAGATATCAATGGTGTTGTTTTTAATGGATGTCCTGCTGTTTTTAAACTGTCTGCCTATGCTGATGATGTCATTTTAATGGTAAACACACAAAAAGACATTGACACAATAAAAAGGAACATTGGACTGACAAGATGTCATCAGCAAAGGTGAACTGGAGCAAGAGCAAAGCAGTAATGATCAGCAACAAGCCCACAACCAACCTGGTTTTACCAGAAGGACTGACATGGAAGACAGGGTGCATAAAATACCTTGGGGTGTTCTTAGGTGAGGAGAGTGTTTTAAACAAGAACTGGGACAACGTGCTAGAAAAGATGGAAGGCAGGCTCAGGAGGTGGAGATGGCTGCTACCGAGCATGTCATACAGAGGGAGGGCACTCATCATTAACAACTTGGTGTCATCCTCTCTGTGGCACAGATTGGCCTGTGTAGACCCTCCTCCTAACCTACTTTCGAAAATACAGACTATGTTAATCAACTTTTTCTGGCACAAACTTCATTGGATCCCTCAAGCTGTCCTCTATCTCCCTAAAGAGGAGGGCGGTCAAGGATTCGTCCACTTGGCCAGTAGGGGAGCGGCTTTACGGCTGCAGTTTATCCAGCGACTGCTGTACGGCCCCAAGGATCTGGTCTGGAGACCGCTGGCCCATGTGATCCTCCAGCAGTTTGCTGGCCTGGGTCTAAAACATCATCTGTTCCTCATGGACCTCAGCACAGCAGACCTCCGTACCTTGCCACCCTTCTACCGGGGAGCCTTCACTGTGTGGAAGTCGATGGCGAGGGAGAAGAACACAGTCTCCCTTCACTGGCTGCTCCAGGAACCTGTGGTTTATGGAGAACAGCTCAAGTCCCTGTGTGAGCAGGAATATCAATGAGGGACATCTTCTGTCAGGCCAGGATCACGACTCTGGGCTCTGTGGTTCACCTGACTGGAGCTGGACTACAAGATGCAGCTGCCCTGACAGCTGGTGTGGGGATCCAGTCCATGAGGAGCATGGGCAGACTGCTGAAGCATTGGAGAGGCTGCCTGACTGGACACCAACACCTCCTACTGAGCCGGCACTCCCAAGGTTTTATTGCCCCCTGCACTGACGATCCATTTCCTTCTGTCACTGTCTGTCCAGTTTTTAAAGACTGCTCTGGTTGGTTTTTAAATGCACAGCACTGCACTTTAAGCCTGCAGGAGGCCACTGGCAAGGCCCTGTACATGGTCATGGTCAAGTGTCTCAATGAAAGGACTTTGAACCATGTGGACACTCCATGGAGGGGTCACCTGCAGCTGGGCGATGAGGTGAAGCCCTCCTGGAGGAGTCTTTATAAAGGCCCTCTGACTAAGAAAGTGGCAGACCTGCAGTGGAGGGTACTGCATGGCATAGTAGCAGTGAACTCCTTTCTGTCCATCATTGCCCCAGGGCACACTGACCGGTCTGTGTTCTGTGGTGAGAGGGAGACAGTCTTCCACTGCTACAGTGAGTGCACACGTCTCACTCCTCTGTTCACCCTCCTGAAGAGTCTTTTCAGCAGTGCTGGAGAAAAGTTCTCTGTACAGGTTTTTATCTTGGGTTTTAAGTACAGAAAGGCAGCAGAAAGGAAGTGCAAACTTTTAAACTTCATTCTGGGGCAGGCTAAGATGGCAGTATATGTGAGTAGGAAGAGGAAAGACATGGTGGATATAGATGTAGTGCTGTTGTTCAGCAGGATGGTGAAGGCCAGGGTCCAAATAGATTTTAAATATTACAGTCAGATGCATGACATGGACAAGTTCACTAAGACCTGAACTCATTCGAACACACTGTGTTCAGTCACTGACAACACTTTGGTTTTCTCTAATCATCTCATGTGATACATCTCTCTAACCCCGTCTACACGACCTAATCTATGTGTTTTATTTATTTGTATTTATTGACTTTTTTGGTTTTAGTTTGAATTTTAATATTGGTTTTAACAGATGTACTGTATTTCCTCTGTGCTTTTTGATCATTTTTTGATCAAAATGCGGGTTCCTAAATCGTAAAATAAAGGAACTATAAAAATCTCTCTCTCTCTCTCTCTCTCTCTCTCTCTCTCTCTCTCCCTCCCCCTCCCCCTCCCTCCCTCCCTCTGCCAGCGCCCGTACTTTTGTTTGACTCTATTTTCATTTAGGTTATCTCCACAGCACCACACCTCGCATGCTCCACACGTCCACATGTACACTACTGATCACACTGACTAACACACCCCATACCTGCATTATGTTCATTTATGTTGCTTTGTTTAAATAAATATACTTTTGTATTTGAGTTTGCGCTGTGTCTCTCCGTTTTTGTCATTGCCTTTAAGCCGGGTTATGACAATAGGAGGCCGCTGTTTGTGTCCCATGTGAAACCAAATATCAGTGCTGACCTATTTTACTTTTACGCACTTTACTTCTGTTATGTTAAAGCAGCACTTACCTTACCACTTACCAGAGACAACAAACAGGCTAGTAACAGGGACGCTTGTGGATATAAACTAGTAACAGGGATGCTTGTGGATATAAACCAGTAACAGGGACACTTGTGGATATCAACTAGTAACAGGGACGCTTGTGGATATAAACTAGTAACAGGGACGCCTGTGGATATAAACTTTTCTCGGTAACAATGGCAGACAAATGCGGACCACTGCTTCCACCTCCAGCCGCTCCAACAGGGAAATCAGTTGGCAAAAGAAAGAATATAGCAGAAAAAGCTAACACTAAGAGAGAGCTCCATGCTGCAAGAGCCAAAACTCGGGTCAACATCGGCTCTGCTTTCGAGCAATGGTGAAGACTGCAAACAGGAAAAGAATCCAGGCACTCCAAACAAAAATGAGAATGAGGAAGGAAAGTTTAGATTAAAAAGCCTTTAATATAATGGCCAACTCATTAAAAAGCCAACATGTTTCCACCACTGTTGGTCTTCATTAGGGCTGGACCTGTTTCTCCAGCCCTGATGAAGACCTTCTGGCGAACATCCACTCGCTGGACATGAAAATGAATTACATCCAACATTCCAGCAGATAATTTTAACTAACTGCCAACACCACATAATGCAGTGTAAAGAGGTAGTGGTCAATTCACATATTTCTGTGAGATCAGGTTGAAGATGCTGCTGAAATGTAAAAGTGAACATTTAATAATTAGCCTACATTAAGCATGAAGTAACCATCCAAAGTCTCTGTCACCTGTCTTTGGCTTGCAGAATCGCCCATTGGTTGGAATATTGTTGATACACCCACACGTTTCGTCAATGACCTCATCACAGGCTCCATACGTATTACAGTCTCCATGTGACCACACATACTGTTCCTCACATCGGCACTGGGAGTTGGTACCATTTAGATAACACACTAAACAAAGACAAAACATTCATGAGAACAAAGAGAAGAAAGCACAAACTACTCAGTGATTAAAGGTGTTAAAGGTGTTCAAAGACGTGGTATTTTCATCCATCCACAGCCTTCTTGATATGTATTTCACACTTGGTTAAGAACTATGAGGAAAATGTAACAACTATCAGATCAATCATTGATAGGTCACCTACTGTTTTTCATATCTGCAGTCACTGGGCAGGGTTGGGTTCCCTATGTGGCCCAGTGACTGCAGGATTTAGTATGTTGAACTTTAACTTGTGCGTGTATGCACAGGACTTGCTGTTGCCCTGTCTGTAAAGCCCAGGAGGAACTTTTTTGTTGACACACAGTGGCAGTTCAGAAGTATTTGGACAAGTCCTGCCTCTCACTGATTGAAGGAGGGGAAGTCCACTTTGTAAGAAGGAAGGACTGTATAATATGAAATGTCATGTGGGTCAAGAGAACAGGTGCATGATTTTAGCTGCTGTGCTGGTTCCTTGTCAGTCGGCACGCCCCCACTTTTAAGAAGCAGGCTGAAGTCTGACCCAGAAGCTAAGCAATGTACTGCTTTGGATCGGGGTCAGCAACAAAATGTATTTTAGCCTCCTTAAAGAAGTCCTACCAAAAAATATCAACATCATTTTAAGTGTATGCTATGTTGCATTTTTACTGCTTAATCTTTCCATCAGACAGCTCATTCTGATGGGGAAGCCATTGATATTTGCTTCAGTTCCCCATCTCTGCTCTCGTCAAAGCCACCAGACTCCACTGACAAAAACAGTAATTTTAGCTTGCTGAACACAGCGCTGCTGCTCTACTGCTGCTTTAATCAGTTAGTTAGTTTGTGTTTTTCTGTGATTTCGGTGAATCTGAACTCACCCTTTAAACGCAAAAAGTCACATTAATACAAACACGATAACTGTTGGAGGCAGCTCCTGTGTTCAATGATGTTAAATCACTGTTTTTCTCAATGTAGTTTAGCTTTGAAGAGGGTGATATAAGGGGATCATTTTCCCATTGGAAATCACTATCTGACATTAATGTGGAGCAGTGAAAATATTCTAAATATAGCGTACACTTAAACTGATACTGAATTTATAGATGGGACTCTTTTAGGTGGCTAAAAAACATTTTCTTGCAAACCCCTCCACAGCAGTAGATTGCTTAGCTTCCATGTCGGACCTCGGCCTGCCTCTCCAAAGTGGGGGTGAGCCGACTGACATCTACTGTATGTATTATAATGTCCATGGATAAGTACCCTATATAACCCATTGAAAAAAAATCTTAACTTTCCCTTTAATGCCAAGCAGACAACTGGTTAGAGGCATTCTTGTAAGAAACTGTAATGTCATGTCAAATACAAGAAATCCTTTCATGACAGAAATAACAATATATGATAGACAGAAACCCATCAGGAAGTGATTTTAAGGAATTAATAGGAACAACACTATCGAAGCGAATCGTGACCAATATTTAAATTAAAATGCATTTGCAGAAATGCTTTTTCATTTTAAGAATGTGGCTGCATTATTTGACTCATAAATAAAATTAGTCATCAATCATCCTATTTGCATTTGCATTTTCTTCTTCAAGACTGCTCATCCTTTCACTTAATTAAAATGAAAAAGACATTTGAGATTTAATTTTCAAAATATGCCCCAGCAAATAGATACCAAAATTCACTTTGAAATGTAAAATTTGAAAATTAAAATGCATGTGCAGAAATGCTTTTTCATTTTAAGAATGTGGCTGCATTATTTTACTCATAAATAAAATGAATAATCAATCAACCTATTTGCATTTGCATTTTCTTCTTCAAGACTGCACATTTTATGCCATAATCAAAAAGAAAACAAAGAAGACATTGCTATTTCATTTTCGTGGTCTGCCCTGCAAAATAGTGCCCATAATTCGAAAATGATTTGGCAATCTGAGCGGCGCAGGAGAGTGACGTCAGTAGCCGCTCTTCTTCAGCTCCGTGCTGACCATGGTGCTACCCATCTAATACGGTAGGGGGCGGTGTGCACATTTGATATATGGATGCATCACAGATCATGGCGCATCGTAATTTCCCAAACCTGAATAAATACCACACATAGCAACACAAAACTGCTTTGCTAGCTCAATCATGTTGTAACTAAGATATCTGCTGGAAAAAATATTTTTTTCATGGACTGTCCATTGAGTTATGGAGTTAATACGTCTGCTGACTTGACAGTCATTTAAGCTAGTAGCAGCTTATAGGCTACTTGTACTTATAGTTTATACTTTGTAGACATTGTGATTTCCCAAAACTGAATAAATACCACACAGTCCAGCAACTTTTCAGGGGCAGAAATCCCGGGTGGGACAGGGGGGACATGACTCCCCCTTCAGTAAAGCTGTACCCCCCTAGAATCATTTGAGACACAATTAAAAATTTTTGAACAGTGCAGTAGTATTTATTAAAAGCACAATGTAAGTGGTACTCATTATAATCGCGCAATAATGTGCTATTTAAATCTTAAAAGATTTAGTCCCCCCCTCCCATTCCTAGTAGTGGTATATCCCACACTCTTTCCAACAGGCGGGGCTGCTTGGCAGCAGTAGCAGGCTGTGGCTGGAACTGCTGCCCACATCGCAAATCGCAGGGTAAGATGTTCACTCACACAGACACAGTTTAACTTAGGCTACACATGTTACAACATATCCCATTTCCTGTTACAACAAGCCCCAGGCCCAGGCTGATAATATAAACTGCAACATTTCTCCTGCATTGTTCAAAAGCCTACTCAATTACGAGTGCTGCTAAGCTAAAAGCTAATGATTAAGCTCAGAGTTTAGTGATAGAGAAGACAGGAGAGAAAGAAGAGGGAGAGGACAGGACAAGAGCAGTCAGTTGCGGAGCAATGGGTACCTGTCTGTAGGCTCTCCACCTGTCAGTGAGACAAACTAATACGGTAGGGGGCGGTGTGCACATTTGATATATGGATGCATCACAGATCATGGCGCATCGTAATTTCCCAAACCTGAATAAATACCACACATAGCAACACAAAACTGCTTTGCTAGCTCAATCATGTTGTAACTAAGATATCTGCTGGAAAAAATATTTTTTTCATGGACTGTCCATTGAGTTATGGAGTTAATACGTCTGCTGACTTGACAGTCATTTAAGCTAGTAGCAGCTTATAGGCTACTTGTACTTATAGTTTATACTTTGTAGACATCGTGATTTCCCAAAACTGAATAAATACCACACAGTCCAGCAACTTTTCAGGGGGAAACCCTGTGACATTGACACGTTAAATAATTTTCAGACATACAAAGCTGCCTAATATAATTTAGATCTGCCCTGTAAAAGTGTGTGTATAGCGCACTGAATGATGCGAAGAGGACCTTACAAGTGAGCGCATTGTGTTTTCTTATGACAAGCAGTAATAACATCTTCACATAAAACACTCATTCAGTGCGCTATACAGTACAGGCCAAAAGTTTGGACACACCTTCTCATTCAATGCGTTTTCTTTATTTTCATGACTATTTACATTGTAGATTCTCACTGAAGGCATCAAAACTATGAATGAACACATGTGGAGTTATGTACTTAACAAAAAAAGGTGAAATAACTGAAAACATGTTTTATATTCTAGTTTCTTCAAAATAGCCACCCTTTGCTCTGATTACTGCTTTGCACACTCTTGGCATTCTCTCCATGAGCTTCAAGAGGTAGTCACCTGAAATGGTTT